TAACATCAATGAATTCCTCGGCTGCTTCAACACCACCTTCTGCAATCGACGCTGTGCTGAGCTCAGGGAAAAATGTGGCTTTTGTTACTTTGTGTGCAATCCTGTCATTTTATCCGTGAAGTCCTGTCTGTGTTTGCACATTTGCTGACACTCAGAGCAAGAAATGGAGAGCAGCTGAATTCATCATCCGTGTTCTCATATACAAATGCAAATCCTGGCTTAATTCTAACATCATCATCGTCATTTTTAATCAAACCAGTCAGAGAGGTTACAACATGTAGCCAGAGAAGGTTGACTTCATCACAGCGGATGTAGTCAAGAAGACAGTAAGTCAGAAACCGCAATATTAAAAACAATGTTTTAATGTTTAGCAACTGTCTTAGGGCTTATAATGTTTCTAAAAGGTTTCTGTCATGTTGATGTTATGATGCAGTTGGATTTGAGCAAGAAAACCTGTTGCATTGTCAATTAACTCTTTAAGCTTTACTATACTAAGCTGCATTTTTATGTTTTTTCAGTGATTATTCGATGCCACATCACAGCAGCATTTACAATCTTAAGATCATTTGCAATGTCCCTCCTTACCTGGGCATGAGGAAAACTACCAAACACAATCCCAGCAAAGTACTATACAGAAGTCGCAAGAACGTTTAAACATATATTTCTTAAGCAGTCTTCTACTACTTGGCGGAGTGGTGTCAAATCAACAGTTAATGTTATCTGTGGGTCACTTGACACAGGTGTTGCAGTCTTGGAAGAAGCACAGCAGCTTTCAATGCTTTTGTGACAAAATATTATGTTTTCTTGTCTACGATGGGAAACTTATCACAGTTTTGGAAAACCTACACATACTCGAAGTGATAAATCACCAGCTTTTGGTGGAAACAATGGACATTTCATCATTGTCTGAACATCTAAAAAAATCAGTCAGCAGCTGTTGTTGCCTTTTTTTAATCGACAGTTAGGTCACTACACACATTAAAACACATTGAGCAAATACAGACAGACAGGACACAATATAACAACAATAAAAGCCTCATTAAACAAGAAACAGTGGATCGTTCATGCCTACATCACTGATCCCTGTTTAGTAACAGTTTCAGTTTTGAGTTTTAAATGATCCCAGTCATGATCTGGTCAAAGTTCTGACTGTAAAGAGTTCAACATGTTCATCCCAGAGCAGAAAAGCTGTTCGTCCAAATTATGGATCCAAATGAAAACATGTTAAAGTTCCTGTTAGATGATCAACCAGAAACTTTGAGAGGAACCAGCAGGCCACTGAGCACCTGCACAGCTTCATAATGTTGGCATTAG